GGGGTGTGGCCTAATATGCCAATGAGCTGCATTGTCATGGGTGTGGCCTAATATGCTAATGAATTTCTGCTATTGGGTGTGGCCTATTATGCTAATGCATTACTGCTAGGCTTTTTCTACAAGAAAAGACCTGCTTAGAAGGATCTGTAATGCACAAACATCTGATTTGCACACTCTTCCCCTCTTCTTACGGGTGAAGAATGGAAAAAAAATTGGATATGTTTGTGTACCCTCCTCTCTCTAGTCTTGTCCCATGTGGCCTTTGTCCATTTGGGTACAACAATCCCTAGTATGGCATTTGGGGTGGTCAAAAGGAAGCAATCCTCACTCTTTTTGCAGTGGAAGTGCTGGAAGGATCCAACCTTTCATCCTCAAATCTTCAATTAGATAGGGACCAATTCTTTATTAGTCAAGTTCACAGGGGTTTAGCATGGTGATCAAAAATTGTGGAATAGTTTCCATTACTTTAGTAAGTACTGTTTGTAGAGGTGGACAAGTTAATAAGGCTGCCAAAAAGAGGTTCTATGTTTCCTAACTTTAAACTCCAGTGTCTGATCCTTTGGAGATCAGGTTCCCCAGAGTTTGAATATGCTAATGAAACAGCTTTGACTCATAAAGTGCTTATATGCTGGGGAAAATCTTCACATGTAAACAAGATGATACAATTTAACTTCTGGTCAGTGGTTGAGAATATGTCAAACATCCATGTTATATTTTTCTTTCTAACCTCCTTGGCTATCCTATTTTTCACTTTCCCTTCTTCCTGCTTGGCGATAATCCATGATACATATCTTCCTACATTGTTCCAGAAAGGATTAAAAGCCTACCTCCTACCGAAACAGGCTTAGAATAAAAATTATTTTCAAGATGAGAGGTTTCCATTAATGTAAGTATGGTGATGCCATTTCACCACTACCTGATTTAATGTAACAGATGCTGATTTAATGATACCCAATTTTTAAATGTCCAGAAAATGCAAAATATTTCAAAACATTGACTGTTTTAGTTACAAGATTATGTTAATGGTTATATTACATTTATATGATCTAATGATTTTTTTATACTAACAGGGATAAGCTTTAAAATTTTCTTTAAATATAAGTTTTTTTAAGCTGGTGTCTGTGA